AACACTGAAGAGGAGCAAAACTGGACGCTCTCACTCAATACCACATGGCCATGCAGTAAATAGTTATTTTTAGAGATGTTAAGTAGAGATAGGAATATACTGAAAGCCACAATACATATCAAAACCTATTATGGAAACTGAAATGTTACATTTTAGTTTCTCACTCATCTCAAGGTTCTTTCTTCATCGTGTAGTATAAAGTTTAAAGTGGAATTAAAAAGTCAAATGGATTAGTTTCATTAAACACAGTGCCAAACTTATCAGTCAACAAACTGTACTTTAAACTGTTTGAGTGATCTCATTGCAAGAACATATGCATGATGGAGTCCAACGGGGTAAACAAGAAATCGTTCAGTTCAAACAGTGCAGGATTCCTCTACAGAGGCCAAAGAATTCCTTAAGGCCTTTGGGTGGGAACCCCTGGCTGATATGTTGATGCCTGTTCTCCAACATCTAGCACAACTACCAGAAAGACAATTTCTTAGAAGAGCTTAAAAATATTCAGATTTATGGAGGAGGAAAAAAAAAAAAAAAACACTTTAGAAAAACAATGCAAAATTAATCTTATTGTGGCAAGCAAGCAAAGGATGCAAGACTGTCAAGAATTGAAAGCAAGATGGCAAAGGGAACTACTCCTACACCACAGGACGTGAATTTTCACTATTTGACATCTTTAACTCACTTGTGAGTAGATTACCTCTGATGACATCACTGAGACAAAAAACATAAAACAATACTTCCTGATCTTTCATTCACACAATGCTTGACAGCAGATAGGCGACTGATTCTACTGAGACTTGATAGTTTCACCAGCACTTCCTGTTAGCCGTCTCAAAATGTCTGGCCTCAAACTAAACCTGACTGACAGCTGCGATAAACTGTTACACTGGGTGATTGAGATACTATTAACAATCCTCTAAAGCTATTGACTAAGCCCATTTAAAAAACAAAAGAATCTGTGTCCATCAAATCATATATTCTTTCATATAGAATTTTTTGTTTTGTGTTTTCATTTAAAAAAAAAAAAAAAAAAAAAAAAAGCAGCTCTCATCTGAGACATTTCATGCCTTGAATTACCTCAGATGTAAAGCCACACCTTTGCCTCTCTCACTACATAGAGATTTACAACATGCAAACTAGTACCTGCCTCTGACCTCAGCTGCACTCACGTTCTCTTGCAAGGTGAAGGGAGAGACAGCAATGGTCCACACTCTGGGTGTGTAGTTGAGCAGAAGAGCAAAAAACAATGCTTAATTTATAAAACAGGAAGCACATGAAGAGCATGCTAATCAGGCATGCCAGGAGAGGGAAAAAGTCACACAGCACATTTGTTTAAAAAAAAAGGAAGAAAAAAAAAATCCACAAAAACAAGACTGCATCAGACAGTGAACAAGTGCTAGCCAATAAGAAACTAAATTAAAGGGCCATCAAAATCAAAGTATTTAGATTAAACTTATTAACTTTAAACTGCATGCAGATATACATGTTTCAGTCTTTAATTTCCTCACCTCTAACACCTTTGGAATGGGATGCTGTCATCTACTGCCAAATTAAAGTGTGGATCTGTTATTTTGCTTTTGTGGCATTCAAGAATTGAGAAAAGTTATGCATTTATAGCACCAGTGAAATCAAATTGATCAAATCGCATTCATGTTCTCTCCTCCACTCTGCAATGCATCTTTGTGTAACAGTTAAACACACACATGGAGCAGAATGAAAGGAAACATGGAAATGTTGAAACAGACAGCACAGCAGAAAAGCAAAATACAGTACAGCGCTAATAATGTTGTCGTCTGGCAGCACAAACGAACCAGCTGCTAGTTAACGAGAGACACCCGGAATGGCTAACCGAAGGTCGAACGGTCCTGATCCCCAAGGAGGAACCGGTCCCATCCAACTACCGACCAATAACCTGCCTCAGTACTACATGGAAGCTCCTGTCAGGCATCATATCGGCTAAGATGAACAGGCACATGGGTCAATACATGAGTGGGACACAGAAAGGAATTGGCAAGAATACCAGAGGCGCAAAACACCAGCTACTGGTAGACAGAACAGTCAGCCGAGACTGCAAGACCAGACTGACCAACCTGTGCACTGCCTGGATTGATTACAAGAAGGCCTATGACTCAATGCCCCACAGCTGGATACTGGAATGCCTAGAATTGTACAAGATCAATGGGACCCTAAGAGCCTTCATCAGGAACTCAATGGGGATGTGGCGTACAACACTAGAGGCCAACTCCAAGCCCATAGCACAAGTCACCATCAAGTGCGGGATCTACCAAGGAGATGCTCTGTCCCCACTGCTGTTCTGCATAGGCCTGAACCCCCTCAGTGAGATCATTAACAAGACTGGCTACGGATACCGACTACGGAACGGAGCAGTTGTCAGCCACCTCCTGTACATGGATGACATCAAGCTGTATGCCAAGAGTGAACGAGACATCGATTCACTGATCCACACTACCAGGCTATACAGCAATGACATTGGAATGTCGTTCGGACTGGAGAAGTGTAGTCGAATGGTAACAAAGAGAGGGAAGGTAGTCAGAACTGAGGGGATTGAACTACCAGAAGGCAACATTGCAGACATAGAGGACAGTTACAAGTACCTGGGGATCCCGCAGGCAAATGGGAACCATGAAGAGGCCGCTAGAAAGGCTGCAACCACCAAGTACCTGCAGAGGGTCAGGCAAGTCCTGAGGAGTCAGCTGAATGGTAAGAACAAGATCCGGGCCATCAACACGTACGCCCTGCCCGTGATCAGGTACCCTGCTGGGGTAATAGGCTGGCCAAAGGAGGAGATAGAAGCCACTGACATAAAGACAAGAAAGCTCCTTACCATGCATGGAGGGTTTCACCCCAAGTCCAGCACCCTGAGGCTGTACGCTAAGCGGAAGGAAGGGGGCCGGGGACTGGTGAGTGTCAGCACCACAGTCCAGGATGAGACAACGAACATCCAAGAATACATTGGGAAGATGGCCCCAACTGACCGAGTGCTCAGTGAATACCTCAGGCAGCAGAAACCCAAGAAAGAGGAGGGAGATGAGGAACCATCATGGAAGGACAGGCCCCTGCACGGTATGTACCACCGGCAGATAGAGGAGGTGGCTGATATCCAGAAATCCTACCAGTGGCTGGACAAAGCTGGACTGAAAGACAGCACAGAGGCACTAATCATGGCAGCACAAGAACAAGCTCTGAGTACAAGATCCATAGAGGCTGGGGTCTATCACACCAGGCAAGACCCCAGGTGCAGGCTGTGTAAAGATGCCCCAGAGACAATCCAGCACATAACAGCAGGGTGCAAGATGCTAGCAGGCAAGGCATACATGGAACGCCATAACCAAGTGGCCGGCATAGTGTACAGGAACATCTGTGCCGAGTATAACCTGGAAGTCCCGAGGTCAAAATGGGAGATGCCCCCAAGGGTGGTGGAGAATGACCGAGCTAAGATCCTGTGGGACTTCCAGATACAGACGGACAAAATGGTGGTGGCTAACCAACCGGACATAGTGGTGGTAGACAAACAGAAGAAGACGGCCGTAGTGATCGATGTAGCGGTTCCGAATGACAGCAATATCAGGAAGAAGGAACACGAGAAGCTGGAGAAATACCAAGGGCTCAGAGAAGAGCTCGAGAGGATGTGGAGGGTGAAGGTAACAGTGGTCCCCGTGGTAATCGGAGCACTAGGTGCAGTGACTCCCAAGCTAGGCGAGTGGCTCCAGCACATCCTGGGAACAACATCGGAGATCTCTGTCCAGAAGAGCGCAGTCCTGGGAACAGCTAAGATACTGCGCAGGACCCTCAAGCTCCCAGGCTTCTGGTAGAGGAACCGAGCTTGAAGGATAAACCGCCCGCAGGGGCGTGCTGGGTGTTTTTTTATATATAATCATCATTATATACAAAAAAAAAAAAAAAATCATTATATACAGTTAATGAAGGTCGCCGGTTCGATCCCTGGGCTCTCTGGCCTGGTCGTTGTGTCCTTGGGCAAGACACTTTACCCATCTTGCCTACTGGTGTTGGCCAGAGGGGCCGATGGCGCGATATGGCAGCCTCGCTTCTGTCAGTCTGCCCCAGGGCAGCTGTGGCTACAACTGTAGCTTGCCTCCACCAGTGTATGAATGTGAGAGTGAATGAATAGTGGTATTATAAAGCGCTTTGGGTGCCTTGAAAACGCTATATAAATCCAATCCATTATTATTATTATTATTATTATCATCATTAAAGACTTAATCTTAAACACCTCAGTCAGATATGGAAAGTGGGAAGAATTCAGACATACAACCCTGAGAAGATGTATTGCTTAAAGTCACTAAAACAAAGACTAAGGATGAGGACTAAGAATATCTTTAATTTCTGTAACTTACTGTCTATTGTCATCATTAAAAAGGCTGCAATACCTTTTAATGTTTTCGTGATTACCATAAATTCACAATAGAACGTTAAGGATGGTCAAGTAAAATCAAGACTCTTCATTTGGAACCATTAAAAAAATAACCACGGGCAAAAACTGTATTCTGATGCTTTACTTTCATGCTAAACAATTCACAGATTCACAAGTGGGAAAACAAAACTGCTACAATAAGATTAAGTTCCAGACACCAGTAAACTCCAAGGCTAACTCTAACCAAAATAAACTTAACAATGACAAAGACAAGCAAGGCACCCTGGAGCCTTGAAAATGGCAAAAGCAAAAATATATTTATGGTTGGTGGAAAATAGACATGTATCTTAAAATGGTTCAATCCCTGTGTGGCAGAATATGAGAGGATCTCGAGTCATGCCTGTCTAGTTACATCATGGGCCTTGGCCATCATAAAAGACCCCCCCGCAAAAAAAAATTAAAAAAATTAAAAATCACTAGCCAAGAGTGCCAACTGTTTGCTTGCAGTAACAGTAGGCTACTTGCACAACAAAGGTGGGGATAAATGCCCACTCCTGTTCAGCTTAGGAGACACACCTCAAAGTCAAGTGAAACAAAACTAACTTACCCACTGGAATAACATGACCCACAGTTCCCAGATTGCTGAGGATAAGGCCGCCTTTAAGCATAAAGAAGTCTCCGACACCAAGACCAGGCAGCGTGACTGCGAGGCTTGATGATTAAGAAGCGTCTCACAATTATCCTCAAATGATTAAAATAGCAGGCACGCCTTTAAACGCCTGACTTCAACGGGAAATGAACGGTACAGCAACTGGAGAGTGCGCCCTTAACCTGACTGTAAGACGTTTCATGTCATACATTAAGTGGTATGATTTTTATCTGACTTACACAAACATTCCTATTCCGGTTTAAAAGAATAAAAGTAGGCGTTTAAGTTTACCACGGTTTAGTGTGGGTGTTTGATACCAAGCTGTCGTGGACACACCAACCCGACGGAGGCATTACCGTCCACCATTACGCCTCCATAAAAAGGCTTTTCACGGTTGAGCTAATCTGACAAAGTTCTTAGATCAATGGCTCATAAAGCCATGCCCATCTGCCTTTGAAAAGGCACAGCAGGTTTAACCTTATTCGGTGGCAATACTGGTTATGATGTTCATAAACTTCAGTGACTCAACTTTGCCCAAAAGAAAAGCTGCCCATTTTCAACTAACCCACCAAACAACAACAAGCTATCGCATGCTAACGTTAACTTGGCTTGCCAACAACAACCTGTCCATCTGTCCGGCTACTAAACCAGCGGCTAACTATCACGAGCTAACAGCCCATTGTGATTATCATCAGTTTCAGAAATTAGAGGAAATAAGCTCAACCCTGCAGCCCTTGCTCCTTTGAATATTGTGGCAAAAGTGTGATTTTTGTAGCACCGATGTCTGTGCAAATAGCGATACACGACAGACAATGAAACCGACCTCGTCTCAAGTGAGCAGCTAGTGTTACAAGGCTAGCTAAGGGAGCTAAGTTAGCCTGCTAACGCCATCTCCCCGGCCACTAGTCTGATGGCAGACAGTCGCTAAATTTATTCACAAACAATCGAGCGTTAATTACATACAGAAAATGACAGTTTTACCTCAGCGTTCTGCAGCTTCAACCTAGGTGAATAAACACACTCCCTTACATTATTTACTAATATCAGTGCATCCATGTACAAGTTTTGCTGGGAAGTTTGGTTAATATTTTTGTACTTTCGAAGCTGGTGCACTCAGTACGTAAGTGTGTGTGTATGTGTAGCTGAGCGACACACATACTATTACCTTGCACGTTAGCTGAGATCAAGCTACGCTAGCTAGCTTAACTTAGGTTAGCTGAGCTAACACCGAAAGAGAAACTTCCGTCGTCGTCATGTTTTAATTGAAAATTAAAAACCCTAAATTACGTTACATACTAATGAAATAGCGCTGCGCGAACTTACAGAGTCTAGGAGGATCTTGGCTGAATTCCCCCCCGTAATTTTAAGTTGTCTGTTGCGACTGTTTAGCTGGCTTCAGTGTAAAAAATCCCGGGGATCCCCTCTCCTCTGTCCGCTGCCACTCCGGCTGCCAGATAATGTAATGAGCCACCACACAGGCGGCGTCATGCTGCGTTCATACACACCTCGGAAATGCTAAGAGCTCAGAGAGAAAGGAAATGATGCGTTTGAACACACTCCACTGGCGTACTGCAAAAGAGTTGAAAGTAAAAGCAATTGCAACAGAATTATGGAATGAGAACTTTAAACAATCAGACCGACATAAAATCGGTGTATAGCAATAATTATAATAGGAAGAAAAAGAATTGCTTTGGCAATATTGCTTTTAGAAACATGCCATTAAGCATATTTGAAATGAGAAAAAGACTACCATTACTATCACAATCCACTTTCTGAGAACTGATTATATTATATCATGTTTTATGTATTGTTAAAAAAAAGTTTGAGTCTATAGTTCCATGTAATGTTTCACTATTCCTGGAACGTTTCCTGAAGGTCATATTTTTCAGCAGCAAAACTCCCCAGAGGTCATCTGAAAGTCTAACAAAACAAAACCAAACAAAAGAAAAGAAAAGAAAACGTTCTTGGAAGTTTACTTCCGTTCAACAGTTAAAACCCTTCGGGGAAGATTCGCAAAAGACTTTCTATTCTTCAGAGAATAAATAAAAATTATTCAGTAAATATTTTCTAAAGCTTTCACACACAAAAAGAGACAGCATGTCCCTAACATGTCCCTAACAAGGTTGAAAACAGTTTTACTTTCAGAGAAAATATTCTAAAAGTGATTTTATATTTCACAAAGATACCTTTAATAGTCAGCTTCTACAGTGGGATTCACAGCAAAAACAGATTGTGCCATCCTTTTTATGGTGAGTCTGAACAGATATAGGTGTTTCACTATATACGCTAGTTCCTGCTCTTTCAGACTGCTCATTTCTGAGGTTCTCTGGGTTAGCCAATTGCTGAAGTACAGTCCAGAGGCAGAAGCACATCATGTGACAAAGATTACCCAGGCTACTAATCTACTGCCATAAGCTTTGGAGCTGTTGTGTGAGTTTATAATGGTATCCCCTTTAACTGTAAGCATGCAGGCCTGTTTAAACTGACCTCATAATAATCCCCTCTGACTGTCATTTCATCTGTGGGATAATAGTGACCACAATGTGTTTTTTTCCAAGTTTATCACTATTTGCAGCAAAAGAGTCACAGAAGCAGCCACCTTGTCTTGTCACACTTTTCTGTATTAACTAATTAAACAGGTGCAGGAAGAGATGTAGGTACAAAGGTCCTTACAAGTTGGATAGCTACACAGTTAATCCTAGTTAAAGTCAAGCATTTGTCATGCTTTGAATTTGTGCTTTGAAAATCCCAAAGGATAGATACATGAGTAAGATTATACTTAGCTACACACAGGCCTCATAACTTGTTAAAAAGACACTTCTGAGAGGTGCAAATGAAAAATTTTCCAGTGAGATTACAGGAGCCATATTCAGTCTTATAGTCAGACAAAAGAGGAGTGGCAGTTTTAGTTTAGAAATTTGGGAAAATGTTTATAAGAATTATTTTAGGTAAAAGTGCTAAAAGCTACATTTTATTTTTTTAAACTCTGAAATTACATTGAACGAAAACCTTAGCACCATCGAAGGGTTAGTAATAAAACAGACTAACACCAACTCTTACCACTACAACAAACTATAGGTAACACTGACAAATTTTTGTTCTGGGAAAGCATTTATTACATGGCATATCATGTGGATGTTTCTTTGACACCTTGCACCCTAAACATTGCTGTAGAGCAAGCACCCTCACCATAAACCCAGCACACTGCAAAAAGTACTTAGGAAAGTTTTAAGGAAGAATAAAACAAGTCCAAGGCGTGGATTGAGTAGTTGACTGAGGAGCCAACTGATGAGCCCAAACCAAGGATGATCCAGAGAAATTATGCTCACATCCCAGTGTGTCCTAAGTAACTATCAAAGCTGCATCAGGGGGAACTACACAAAATTAGAGAAGTGGTTTTGACATTGTGGGTGATTGGGTGTATGTGGCATAAGGCCTAGCTTTGCTTCCTACTACCTAAAAGCATATAAAATATGCAAACAATGCATTACCATTCAATACAATTAACTCTAGCACACCCAGCACTTCTAGCAGCATAAGTCAATGAATGTAATGTCTACAAAGTGAGGTAAAACAGTCAATTACAAAATTTCAATCATATTTTTATTGGAAAATTATTGAAAACAATGTAAGAATTAAAAACATAGGAACTGGATAGAACATAGCAAGTACTCAAGCTTAAACTGTGTCCTTACAGAGTGCTTTAAATACCAAGCATCAAGATACCTACACAGGTTAGCTAAAATAATACATATCACACTTTACTAAATTGACTTTATAAAACGTCACTGTACAATAAAAGGTTCAACAAGTGGCAAATCTATACAAACATACTGTAAAGAAACCCCTTAGTGGAACTATCATGACAAATTAAAATAGAACAAAATAAAATAAATTCTTTTTTTGTGATATCTGAAGATTATTGAAGGCTCCAAAAGTTAAAACATGATTTGTAAAAAGTAATACATCTACAGGAATTTATATATTATGCAACTTCCAAAAATACATTGCTTAATGTGTGTGTGTGTTTTTTTTTTTAACTGCATGTGGCAAACCTAGTGGCCACCAAATCACATAAGTATTTAAACACTGTTTGTTAACAGACCAAGCATCTTCTGCACAGTGGATTCTGCAGCAATGTATACTGTCAATTCTCAGAAGGAAACTTTTTCAAATTATTATCCTGTGAAAATAAATTACAAGGTTTCTATTTTTATCTACTGTGGATTTTGTGCAAAAAAGTTATCTACCAAGAGTTTATTGTTAGCAGGTCAAAAACTATTATACAAGGAATCTGCATCAGTAACTTTCATGCAAGAAAAAACAAAAAAACCCAAAACAAAACAGTATTCATACAAAAAAGGCAAGATGTAAAATATTTACCAACAGTTACAAAAATAGCAAGATGAATAAATTAATTTCTTCTACATTTCTTTACTGCCCACATCTCTCCTCTTGTTTTTCCAGCAAATGGAAAAGAGTCCTGGCAAATGTAGTGAAGGGTAAAGAAGCCTTTTACCATGTGTCCTTCACTCCTTTAATCAACAGAGAGCATGAAATACCTGTACAACTGCAGTTGTAACTTTTCTACAATATTAAAAAATATAATAGCAGTCAATCAGGGAGAAATCTCCAGAAGCTGATAAAGTGAAGGCCCAAACTGTCATCTGTTAAAATCCTTTTAAGCTACAGTGGTCTGGATAGCGGGTTGGAAGGGATCAATTTGCTGCTTGTGATAATTTAGTATCAACAGTCACATGTTAGACAGGAGGTTCCTTATAACAGGCTTGCAAGGCTGGTGGTTGGACCGTTTTGGGCTTGGATCTGGACAGGAGGGGGGCCATCAGTCCACTGAAAGAGAGATGGAAGTAAACCGTTAATGCAGCCATACACCAAAGCGCCTAGCCTCAAAAAGGCCATTATGCGTCATATTCAAGGTCATCGTTTAAACGTTTTTGAAACAGATCTCTTGAAATATTTTATTATATAATAAAGGGACAAGAATTACATCATCTCAAAGACTTTTCTTTTTCCTGTATCTATCTAGAGCTTTCATGTTTACTGAAAGATCCAATAAACATACCAGGTTTTCCCTGGCTGAATAGCACAGCTCCTCAGCAAATCATCATCAAAAGATTATATTTTTCTTGAAAATTAAATGTAACATGCTAATCCGTGATTTTATATTTTACAACACATCAAGACTCAGACGAAAATGTTTTAATTTTAACCAGAGCAGTGGTCAGCGATCAGACTCAGCTTGACGAAAATAGCAAAATTTGTGCCTTCTTAAGTTCTTATTTAACATTTGAGAACTTCCAAGTTAGTTGGTATCATGACTCAAACAACGAGCAACAAGCCTATTGTTAACTAACATTAGCATAGCATTTTGGAAATGGTAACGGGTATTTTTGGCTTCCTGATAGTTCAACACCGCTTGCAGCCTTATTTGTAGCATTTCCCACACAAGAACCTTTAAACTGTGTCAGGCAACTGTCTCCATCTCTCTCTCATAACACTGCAAAGACATGTAGATTTATGTCAGCCATGTGATCAATACGAGCTTCTCCTCATCTGTTTAGACTCAACTGCTAGTAAACAAGTGAGTCTAAACAGTATTAATTAAAATGTATTAATTATCAGCACTAACACTTGACCAGTTCTCCACTGGTTTTACTGAGACCACAAATCAGTTTCTCACTGGTGGATCTTAATGTATTTGATCCTTTTCTATTCAAAGCCTACCAAGCTAATAATTCAAAGCTGTAATCTGTGATTTGTCCACTGACTCGCCGATTTACCTTTTCAACTAATTCAGTCAAACCTACTGTTTATGTGCCATATTTCTGCAGACTGAGCGCACCCACATCCCTCGTGTTACATCACGACCAAGTTCTGATGCTTACAGATGCATTGTGCACGTTCTTTTTATTTCTGGCCAACAGATGAACAATAATAGAAATATTGAGCTTGAGCAAATTAACCAGATGTAAATACCAAATATTTTTATCATGGTGTTTGTCATTTTCCTTTAAGGCCATAATCTTGTTGATTTAGAGCTTCTTTTCTTTTTGGTGCAAGAAAATTTTGATAAAATAATAATAACACAGTGTGATAACAATAAACCTAGGACACCAAGTTGCTTTAACGTACACTGATGAGGTTATGCTCAGGAAGGCTGCAGGCAGCGATGTGGTCCTGTAGCAGCTGCTGGGAAAAGTTCTGGTGCATCTGGGCGGCTTCATGGGCATCCATGGTGTTCCCAAGAGCCTTGTTCAAATCTGCAAGCACAGCACATGGTCAAAACCTTTAAACAA